TGCGGCAGCTATCCGCGGGCTATAGTACTAGAGCTAGTGTAGGATTAGCTCTAGCTCTAGTACTAATACTATATTGTATAGGGTATAGTCTAGACAAGTAATCAGTATTAGTATAGCCCTCCGCTCCGCCGCAGGCCTGCAGGAGGGCTATAGCTAGCTATAGTACTTACTACTAGTACTACTAGAGCTAGCGGCCCTAGTCTAGAAGACATGTCCCACAATACTTTATGTCTACAATACAATACACAATGGGTCATGTCTTCTAGACTAGCGCCGAGCTAGCTTACCTCTAGAAGACTAGGTGGCCTGTGTCTGTGGCGCCTGCAGCTGTGGCGGAGCGAAGGGTTATATATAGTTCTAGAGGCTAGAGCTAGTGTAGGCTATGAGTATGACGTATTAGGTCTGTCCATATCAAGTTTAGAAATAGACTTTTTGCCAGACAGCGAGTAGGACCTACTTGTGCTGAGAGGGTCTATGTCCCCTAGGGTACTGCCAGAACGTACCCTGGTTACGGTCCGGTATACCGGAACATACCCTGGTACTATCTAATATGCCGGACCGTACCTCGCCTACTCCACTAACGAGTCTAGGGAGTCGCCTACGCCTACTCCATAACCCTAACCCTAACCATAACCATATCAGATAGTTACCAGGGTACGTACGTTCCGGCAGTAGCCTGGGGGACATAGACCCTATGAGCCCTACTTGTTGCCAAAGAAAAAAGCAGGCAGCAAACTTACTCACCCAGGCAGAAACTTGAGAAAACCCTTGCGGTTCCACTTCCTCCCACCCCAATAGTACTCAAGTGCTGCCCTATTGCCTCTCTCCATAAGGAAGCTGTTTTGGCCTCCAGGCAGGGGCGTAGCTACAGGGGGGCCTGGGGGGGCACGTACCCCCCACAAATTTTCTGTGCCCCCCCCCCAGGTGCCCCCCCCCCACTAAAAATTCATGCTTGATAAAAAAAATTGAAAAAATGCAATTAAAAGCAATGCCGTTAGAATAGTATAATACAAAGAAAGAGGGTTTGAACCACATCTCAGTAAAATTATATATTGTGCCCCCCCCACGAAAATGTAAGGCCCCCCAGTGCGCCCCCCCCCTCCCCCCGCTGGAAAAATCCTAGCTACGCCACTGCCTCCAGGCCGTATTGGAATTCTCTCCCTTCTTCTTTAGTGAATTGCAAATTTGAGGCCTTTTCTACTGCGATCTGCAGTGTTGATTTGCCTATTTGTTCAACTTTGTCCTTTCCCATCTTCAATATAGCCCCTTGGACTTTGAAGACTAATATTTATGAGGCTATGAGGTAGGCTCTTTTCCCTGATCTGTTTGTAATTCCTAACCCACTTTAGAACCCCATAGCAGGGTTCTCCCTACGTTGCGCAAACGGGGCGCGCGCGCCCCATTTGGGAAAACTCCCCCCTGTTTCAATCGTTTCGCCCCGTTTAAATTACCTCCGCCCCGATTAAATTCTACCACAATAAAAGTTTGCCAGCGGGGGAATCGATCGTCAAGAATTCCCATTCGACCAGGACACCCGGCACGTGTATTTTTACCCTGCCAGGCATGCACTGCAGACAATAAACAAGTACAAACAGTCAACCTGTCCCACACCCAACACTAACTGTACACCGACTCGGCTATCTTATATATACAAGAACCCCAAATACCGTCTATGGTGTGGTGGCGATTTTACGCATTAATTAGTGATACGGTAAAAAAACATGCCCTCCTCCCGGAACCCTCCTAGTTTCCCCCCTCCCCTCCCCCCTCCCCCTTCCCCTCCCCTCCCCCCTGTTTGAATTTCATCCTGGGGAGAACCCTGCATAGTTACAATAACGCAATAATGCCTGTCCTATGGCCCAGTCATATATAGATATCAGGAGTAGATAATAGGGAAGAAGTGTGACATCAATAAACAAGGGAAATTCATCATTTACTAGCCTTATAATACCTACGATTTACTACGCGTAACTCATCCCAACTTGAGCTCAATCGCGACACAGTACATTCGCATAGCAATCGTGCGAAATCGTTTCCTCGTATACACCGCGCACATCCGGAGATACAGACTAAAACGTACGACACGATTCTCCATTCTTTGGCCATCAATCCAAATCCATTACGCGCCTCTAATTCAAACAAAAGGCAGCTACCTAAACGCGCTATTGCTACTCAGCGAGGCATGTGGCTCGCTGGAGATTTAGGCATCAACACTCGGCGAGATAACCTTTGACGCCGGTACACAGCTACACAGGCCACCTCTGTAGTGTACATAGCTGCATTCCTTCACGCACACGAGCCAACCGCCAATCAGCAGCAGCTGATCGGGCTCAAATCTCCCAGCGAGCCACATTGCCAGCCGAGTTAGCAAGCTGTGTTAGGTAGCTGCCTTTGCTTTTGAATTAGAGGCGCGCAATGGATTTGGATTGATGGCCAAAGAATGGAGAATCGTGTCGTACGTTTTAGTCTGTATCTCCGGATTGCGGCGTGTATACGAGGAAACGATTTCGCACGATGCTATGCGAATGTACTGTGTCCGATTTGAGCTCAAGTTGGATGAGTTACGCGTAGTAAATCGTAGGTATTATAAGGCTAGTAAATGAAGAATTTCTCTTTTTTATTGATGTCACACTCCTTCCCTATTATCTACTCCTGATAGATATATATCTTACTAGGTACTATTTACAAGTGTGAACGACTTACTATTCAGGAGAAATACACGCATGCTTAAACTAAGGGTGAAGTATGATATATCGCAATCCTTTCTCCCTTAAATTTATCGAAATAGTCACTCTGATACATGCGGCAGAAAACTGTATTTGTGAAAGTTTACCATAGCAGCACAAATTAGTGGTGCCACCAGTATTGTATGCAAATGATCGATAACACATTTAAAACTTAGGCAAATACTGAACCACAAATTTTTCATTTAGTCTACTTTTACAAAATTTAGGCTAAATTCACTACGTCACGAATTTTCTATGGTGTATATTTGTAAAATGTTTGTTGCAATTTTTTTACATGAAAAGTATGTACTAATGGTATTAGCGGGACTAATGGTATCCTCACATTCTTACCTGATAACATTGTTTCTCAAATAGTTAAAAAAAAACCTGGGCGATTTGATATATTTATCACGACATTTAAATTCTTGCTATGGACTATGTATGAGTCATGAGTCAGAGTGTTTGTTCACATCGAATGGAATAGCAAAATAGGAAGCAATTTAACCATAAAAAGTGAACAGAATCACTTACATTTTGTGAAAAAGTGGACATAAATTTTTTTACTTTTAACTATTTATGATGACGTCATCACTTTACACCTACACTAATGTTTCCTTAAGTCTTGCAATCTGGTGCATTCTAGGTATTCAAAAATCTGCATATATTGTGGGCTCATATAGGAGCTATAGTCCCCCCAATGATCAAAATAGGTCCAAAATAATGTTCAATAAATTTAACTTAATAAGTAAGGATTAATTTTTCTGTGTAAAATTATTAGGAAAGTACATAACTGCTATTTATAGCCTGGTAGTAGAGGTAGCATGGTGTATATTCCCAGTCTGCAGCTTCACTATAGTATATAACTGTCACGACATTCACAAATGTCCACAAGTCTTGTCATATAATAATGTTAGCCATAAGGGCCTGCATATTATGTACTTCTACATTGAGACATTGAGAACTGCTGAATAAAAATATAAAATTATATTGAATTGTAGATCACAGGTGCCGTGTCCTGAATTACGGCATTCTGAAAAGTTTAGGCGTTGCCGAAGACAGTCGGGGAGGGGGAGTACTATTTGGAGTCGATTGCACGTGTAATAGGCAGCCTCAAAACACAGGTAAACTTGATCAGCTCAGAGACATATACACAAAGCTGCAAAAACAGCACGGTTGAGTTGGGATTGTCAAAACTAAACAGCTTAGAAATTAAGGCATGTCAGAGGATTTATGGGATGTGTCGCAAATTAGTTTTAGCTTTGAAGGCATGTCGAACGTACATGTGTTAAAGGCCTGAAGAGAGCCCCATACACATATATATATATACAGTGGCGTAGACAGGTCCTCAGTTGGGGGGGGGGATGATTTCGCTGTTACTTCCATCGCAATGTATATGAAGAGTGCGCGATGAGCGCACGCCGCGAGCGCCTTGGCGCAAAGCCCTTAATGAGTGAGGTCCAGGGCTTGGATTTTAGAAATTTAGAACCTTTAAGATGGCCGTTTTTGAGGGAATTGAAAAGCAATTTTGTGAATTCTAGGGTAATTTTTTTCTTTGGATCCCATACTCATCATAATTTGGCCAGATTGGGTTGTTTATAAAACGCAAACGAACCAAAAACACAAATACACAGTCATGTGTAATTCAAGTAGGGATGGTGCTAGTGAGATTCAATGCCGTTTTCCAGCACTATGGGTAATATAGCCCTGTAGCAGAGGAAAATGGCTACACGGTTTGGGCAACAGACTACTTGAGACGGCAGATTACTCTATTGTGTTCCGTACAGCCAAGACCAATAAACTGCGCCCTAGAAATTTTAATATCTGATGCTATCTAGTGCGCAACATTGGAAAAGTTGCCGTAAAAAAATTTACCACGATTGCCCATGGAAGCCTATTTGTCCCTGGAATAGTGTCAGATTATACAAATTTCTAAGGCACAATTTATTCGTCTATGTTAGCCCTGTGCACCAGCACCAGCAGACTGAGAGGCAGTGCTAGTGTAGATTATACCTTACAACATCCGTGTTGTAGTTATACAATGGTGTTTGTATGTTGCAACAACCATGGGTGTTGTGAGATATACACTACAGTACCCCAGATTTATACCATAACGTCACATTACACTCAGACTAGGCCAACCTTACTGCTAACAACAGTGTTAACGCAAAACATGCTGCAAACGTTAGTCTGAAAATACTGATTCAGTGAAACTAACATTCATCGTGTCTCTAAAGACACTCTCGAGTCTCAGTAATTCATTATCTGTTTTATTTACAGGTCACGAGGGTTCAACAGCAATCTCTGTACCTTCAAACTAGTTTTTCACTTTGCCAAAAATGTAGTTTTGGAACTACACCTGCACATATGGTCAGTTGATTGTTAGCTTTTCTATAATATTATATGTCAAATTTTGTTGGTTGATGAGAAATCAGTTTTTAGAGATAAGTTATAGAGGAGTAAATAATGTTATTTACTCCAGGTCACCCCTATTATTTACTTCTGGTTATAAATATTTAATGAAAATGCACATTTATACAATCATCTCTGGTAGTAATGTTCAAGAGTTAAGGTGAAAACACACTGCAGTGACAACGACCAACCATAATGATCAGTGTCAAAGTCGCAGCGATTGGCCCCAGCTACACTGCAGGCATTGACAGCTGGCATTAGGCCAAAGTTCGTCTCCTTTCTTGCTACATAATGGCAGGCATTTTAAGTTTGTAAACTTGAAAATGTTACAAGGGCTTACCATTTATTTTACAGTCCTGTGCTATGGATAGCCAAACTTTTTCTGTTAGTTAGGCAACCTTGTACAGTAAATGCCCCAAATCTTATAAAACCAAAATTTCCCTGAGCAAATAATCTGGTCTGCGATCACAATCCTGGAAAACAGCTGATCAGCCAAATTTCGATAGGAAATGTTTCGAAATGTTGTTGGTGATGAAAACATGTATAAGGCTGTTATTGACTGTTTATGAAGTGTTGCACAACAGTATTGCTATAGAAATTAGAAAAGGTCTAATTTTCTAAAATGGTGTTAGACATTACGGTCAGTCATTGTTGCTGAAGTGTGTATGAGCACATTGATATACTTGTATTTTATGAAATAAGTGGAAAACGTTCATTATAAGGTATATCTGTTTCTTTGCACTTCATGATTACTTATCTAAGTATTGGCTTGAACTTCCTTTTTAACAGTCAAATTATGGAAGTCACAGTTTAGGAAGTGAACTTAACACTGGCTTCTTCACCAAGGTGTTGGATAAGTTGGGATATCAAATTGGAATGAAATATGGAAAATCCGTAAGTGATCATTGTGTGTTTTTAATGGCTATATTAGTTGCAGTATTGTGATGTCATATTGTTGAAAGTAGACCTTGCAAATAAACATCAATAACCTGCCCAGCTAATTAATAGTAACGTTGCTCTTTATTGTTTGTGTTAAACAAATTGCAAACAGTCATGATGCTTCTCTAGTTTCAGTTCTAGGGTTTCTGTTATAGTAATGTAAGATATAGTTTTGCACAATGTTAAAGGATCATAGTGTTGTCATATTTGTTTATCATTTCAGAGACTTAGGATAGCTGGTTCAAAAATGTATGAATTATGTGTAACACCGATTGATCACCTCTATTTCTTCAAAGGTACGTAATCAGTATTATTTTCTAAATAACGTCTGCAGAAATTATGCATCACAAACATGAATTTATTAGTATATCATATGCAGAATATTGGTGGTTTTGCGTATCATCTATGTGCCTCTGTGTGAGAACAAGGACTTGATAATATTCCAATTATTTACTATCATAATAATAATATCCCTGTTGTTCACAGCATGTGGTTTGCCTGACACATACAATTCCTGGTTTGTCATCACAGAATTGCATGTTTGGTGAGTAAAATCCTAGACCTGCTACTAGGTAGAAATGCTAGGACCTCTAACTGCCATTTGCAGAGTATTTTTAAGAGTTGGGGGCACACCAGTACATCTTTGCAGAAAAAGGGGAAATAAAAGTGTCCATGTGCACCAGCCTGTACTACTGGAAGTGGGAAGTCTTGTGTAGACACATGAGGGCACCCGATAAAATGTGCATCTGTACCAACCTCAGAATTCAGTGTATGTCCTTTAGAAAGAAGTTATTGCTCTTATAAGATACCATATTGTTGCTATTACTGCCTCACCTCTATATGTACCCTCTTCACAGTGTGTGTTCACAGTAATGTGCTACGTGTTTGAAGTCATTTACGGCATATATACAGATGTTTACAATTGCAAGTAACTCATGATTTGTTATATTTTATTTTATACGGTTTTGGTATAAAGCGATCGGTCATTTCACACATTGCTGACTGCTTTGTCAGGCAACAACTTGAGCCTCCTGTAGGTCACATATGACTTCCTTCATGTGCAACAACTCGCATCTCACTGACATCTCACTTCCTTAATGGGCAGTAACCCGCATTTCACTGACGTCTCACTTTCTACACGAACACTAATGACCAGTGTTTCGGGCATCTCACTTCCTTTACAGGCAGTAACTTACATCTTGCGTACAACTCACTTCTTTCACTGACAGCAACTCGCGTCTTGCCGACATTTCGCTTCTCTCATGGCCGCCATCAACGCACCGGCAGCAACTCACATCTCTCTGACAGCTTTTCCTCTTCTGGTGCCAACTTGTGGGAGAGAAGGAAAGAACGTACATTCACTCCCCACATATTTGCACCTCCTGCTCACCTGCACGTCCTGCATGCTAACACAACTGTTACTTGTCTTCACCTAAAGCCATTTCCGCAGTCTCTACACTTTGTGCCCAGTGTGATCTTGTCGATTTTATTTATGCATTTTTGATTAGCATGTGATCATTTTCCAGAAGCTAATTATCGAATAAATCATGACTTAGCTTATATGTCATGTCCTGATCATGTTATAAATGGGGCTGTTGTTAAATGCATTGCATGTATGCATAGGATGTGCATGGTACGGCTGATGAGAGAAGATAGAGAAGGCCGATTTACTCGAAACATTCTAGTCCAAATGATGTGGGATGACGTGGACAAGCGTTGTAAACAACTGGGAAATGTACGTATACATAAATAACAGGGTTAATTTTTACTCAACCGTGAAAGTTTGAAACGTACCACTGACGTTTCGCCTCCTGCCAGGAGGCTTTCTCAAAGCAAACTGAATATAATCAGTTTTGAACATCAGATGGAGTGGTTGTCAATAGCTTAGTCCACACGTGACTAAGCCTGTATCTCCCCTCGTCCCGGTTGATGTTTGGGGTCTTGCGGATCCAGATGGCCTCCTTAATCCAACGCCTGATTTTGATAGGCTTGCGATCGATGATCTTCGAATTCTCCCAATCGATGGTGTGATTGTCCTTCGCTACGTGGTCAGTGATCGCGGATTTGGTGATTTTGATAGCCGACTGTTTTCGTTGGGCCCTTGTGAACGATTTGGGTGCTACGGTGTCTACGTCATTTTTGTGTTCTTTTAGGCGGGTTTCAAATTTTCGGCCGGTTTCTCCAATGTAACTTTTTCCACACATTGCACACGGTATCTTGTAGACACAGGTCGGCTACCGAAATCACCAAAACCGCGATCACTGACCACGTAGCAAAGGACAATCACACCATCGATTGGGAGAATTCGAAGATCATCGATCGCGAGCCTATCAAAATCAGGCGTTGGATTAAGGAGGCCATCTGGATCCGCAAGACCCCAAACATCAACCGGGACGAGGGGGGATACAGGCTTAGTCACGTGTGGACTAAGCTATTGACCACCACTCCATCTGGTGGTCAAAACTGATTATATTCAGTTTGCTTTGAGAAAGCCTCCTGGCAGGAGGCGAAACGTCAGCGGTACGTTTCAAACTTTCACGGTTGAGTAAAAATTAACCCTGTTATTTATATTAGTCTACCAACGAAATGAATTTTTATTTAATGAGTGTACGTATACAGTGTGGCGATGTTGCACACAGTTTGCATTTTAGAGACAGTGTTAGAGGTAATATCATATGAACGAGAACATTGCCACGTGTAGCTGTATATTCATATGGTGTTGTCTTAGATTAGGTTAGAGAGAATGATAAGAGAATGTGACATCATGTGTAACGTTTCAGTTGGGAAGTGACCGCACCATGTATATTCAGGAGTTACACGAACATTTTCAAGCATCCTTATTTGGGTATGATGAGGTAAGCACTGGTGCATACATGCCATTTAGATTCTGTAGAAATGCTGCAAAGAAAGCGTTTTCTTCAATGGTGTTGTAGAGCTATATTAATGTTACATTTTATAATATTAAGAATATGTTAACATATATAACTTGGGACTGTTAAGAAACACGTGTTGAATGTTGTAGTCATTTTGTTCAAGTTTGAGTGGGAATATAACCCTCAAACTGGGGTTATATGCAGAAAATATCTATTCTGTTCAAGTATAGATATTTTCTGCATATAACCCAAGTTTAATCAATTACCTTGCACGTAGGGTATTCTTGGAAATGATATGGTCCTAGCTGCTGCAATATGGAGACACTTCTATGCGATGAAACTTGATGACCCAATAAAGTTAAACCTTCTTGTAGGCTACATTCGACGAAATGTAAGTTCAGTAAACGCACCTTGTTACGGTTTGTAGCAATTGTAGGAAATTATGCACCAATTTATTAGGCTCTGAATTAATGGAGTTTGATTAAGTGAGATACATGTAACTGTAGGCCTGTTTATAAGTATTTCTGACAGATGAATATCAATACCAGGTACATAACCTAGACAACGTGCAAAGTGAGAAGCTACTACGAAAAGGAGATGTGGCATGGCTTCCACTTGAAGAGGGAGTGAAAACACCAGACTACATGTCAAAACGTGAACGTAAAATTGTGTAAATGGTTGCCGTGACAGTGTTGGGTTTGCATGTTCTTTGCTGCATTTGAAATTGTCAGTTCTCTTTAATTTGCAATGGCATAATATTGGACGCTCGTAGAATAATCAATGCTATTATCACATACACGTGATGAAATACACTTTGGCAAAATATGGCAGCAAATGTTCCATTTGTGACCGACAACATTATGCGTGGTAAGTTATGTTGTACGTGTTGAGAGCAACCATATCATTGCTGGTTTGATATGCTTTGTAAATAGACGTTAATTATATAGTGAAATAATCTACTGTTTATGTAGTTAATAAAAAAATTGGACTATAAAAACCTTACTCTAGTTTATTGACTAGTATAATTTTCACCATATAATCTATACTTATTAACACTGAGCATACCTGCAGTTATTTTAATTTCACATTTAGTGAATCCATCTGCACTGTAACAAAATAACATTTTCACAGTTTGACAATGTTCTTTTTTCTCTGTTTCCTTTTCTTCTTTTTCTTCTGTTGGCTATATTGAACCTCAGGTTTATATTTAATATTTTTGTTCACACTAGTTTGCACTGTCACTTTTAACTTTTTCATTACTGAGTTGGCCTTCAAGTCTGTGAATATACTACCTACGTGCACTAGATTTTGTGAGTTTTTGCGCTTCTCTTTTGATTTCCTCTTTTTTCCTCTTCCTTGTTGGCCAACATCATCCACTACTGGCTTAGCTTGAGACGTTACAGCTTGAAAATCAGGGGCATCAACCGAACACACTGCGTCAAACACTGCTACAAAGAATCCATTCGTTGCAGTTTCTTTTGGCGAAGCTCTCAGGCAGTTTTCAGCATCGCTGAACAGGTTCTTCCCTCTACACTTCCACTCATGTAGCACGGATGCTAATCGAAACCTTCCCGCATACTCCTTCAGTGCTGCCTGTACAACTAACTCATTTTCTTGATCATAGATGGAGCAGGTAGAGTAGACAAGTCGCTTTAGCTTGGGAAATGATAGGGCATGTTTCAGTGCCTGCAACTACAATAATACAAGATATTGGTGATGGTTAAATGACAGTACTACACATAGCATCAAGAGTACATAATAGGAGAAGAGTATGACACCGTTTTAACAGCGTTTGCATAGTTTTCAACTTGTAAATATTCTATCAATATGTGAATAAATATATTCAAACTTTACTTTGATTTCGTCGATGATTCTCCCTTAGTCATATGACACCACCAATTTACCTGAAAATCGTATGTGTTTTTCAAAAAAGTTCTTTGAATACGACACGGTTTCGCACAGTTCACGAATGGACGCATGTTTTCGGCCAAAGTTTATTATGGGATTAGTGTTCTATTGTCTATGCCGGAACGCTGGGGGCTGTGGGGGATATTAGGTAAGCACAGTAACAGCACTTGTTTCGCTTCCTTATCATCAGGAACACGATGGCAACAGCTAAAATCAGCTGCTAGCTCGCCGTGAGCACACATTTATTTTTAGCACGCTGGAAACGCTACACGCTGAATACAATTTGATGCCTAATATCCCTTACAGCCCCCAGCGTTCCATCATAGACAATAGAACACTAATCCCATAATAAACTTTGGCCGAAAACATGCGTCCATTTGTTAAAACTGTGTGAAACCGTGTCGTATTCAAAGAACTTTTTTGAAGAACACATACACGATTTTCAAGAAAATTGGTGGTGTCATATGTGACCCGCTCCAGCAAAACCAGGATTAAGTAGGAAATTCTACAAATTGAGTTATGTGCATATCTGAATAGATAATTTAATTACCTTTAAAATGATATATAATATTTGGCTATATCTAAAGAATTGACCGATCTACAGCAATTTGAAGATCAGAAACCGACATATTCCCGACTTTTTTTCTTTTTTTAAATTAAAAATTACCATAATAATCTAGAGATATCTGAACCTATATATCCGGATTAAATATGCACTTAGGAACTAATTTTTGTAAAAATCTCATTTTTGTCCAGGTAGGCCATTTTCAGCATTGACATGTGTGCGTGTTCATTACTCAAAACAATGAATTGCGACTTAGTCCGTATTATGCGGGAGCGGGTCACATATGATTAAGGGAGAATCATAGATGAAAACAAGGTAAAGTTTGAATATATTTATTCACATATTTATAGAATATTTACAAGTTGAAAACTATGCAAAACGCTGTAAAAACTGTTTCATACTCTTCTCCTATTATGTACTCTTGATAGTCTGTATAGTACTTATACAATATTATAGTATGTGCACATGTATAGTAGAAGTTAACTAGCCTTCTAACACATTTATAAATTGGCAGGTCATATATTATATATGGGAAAACTGCATGTTTTATGGTAGAGTACTGTCATATCTCATTTAACAATTAAGATTCATGCCGGAGGCTTGCCCATTAAATGTCCAATAAACAAGATCATTATAACACGGTGCTTATGGAGACACCCACACAATGCTAGTTCACGCAACCGCTATGCCAGCCAGGTTATGGTAATAATCAATATAATGTAAATCTGCACAGCTAATATTGGCAAGTTGAGTAAGACTGCATGTGATATTCTTTGTTCTATTGTGACTATGCACACATGATATGCAACACCGTTACAACCATTTTACTTGTGACTACCTGAAAAGATGAAAGCTTCGTTAGACGTTCAGGAGAAGGTTTATCAGAATCTGTCAGATGATCCAGTCTATTGGCAATACCTGATCCAGAGCAAGAGGGATCCAACAGTATGTACTCAACTCCTGAGAACCTAAACATAGACAGCCAAGGAACTATTGTCTTCCACAGCATCATGTTTTATTAGCTCATCTGACGAAGTCAGATGCAGCTAGTAGAATCGCATGATTGTCCGTGCGTCCGTCCGTCCGTCTGTCA